TTCTTGAAATATTTCAAAATGCTCCCAAGGCAATTCCTTTGAAGGTTAAAAGTCCATATAATCTCTATGCAGAGATTCTAATTTGGTAATTATTGTTATGACCTCTAAAGTAGTCCTGGAAGTTAGTGTACTTCTGCAAAGTTCAAACTAAATGGGAGCCACCACTAAGAAAAATACATGTCTCTGACAAGTGCCAAGGTGCCGCCAGCTGTTCCATTGATGACTTACCAAATCTATTACTCTCTTACCATTGTCACTGAATTCTGGAATGAAAGTGCAGAATAATCCTTCTTTTTTCATTTTTTTTCAATGAAAGATTCTGAGATGAACCTCCAGTGTTACTGTGCGTATGGTAGATATGTGCGTATCTATCACTTGATGGCTAAAGAGGTGTTCTCTACCAGTAGCTCCCATTCTTTGAGATGTGTAATCCTTGCATATGCATCACTTCCAGCTTGCACTCCATCTTTCTCAAAGTGCTGTCATGACTATCTACTTCTGGAATTCTGCCAAAGAGAGGCGAAAGAGATTGTTTTCAGTTCTTTCTCTCCTATGTTTATGGCCTGACTGTGGCTAGTGAAAACAACAAACAACGCTGGTCTTCTGTGATGTACAGAGTGAATATATTATGTGAACTTCATATCTCATAAGGGTAACAGATGCTTACAGGTTACTCAAAGAAAACTTTTTATGTTCTCTTCTTACCTCCTTTAGCAGGGAAGACCCAGCAAAAGTCACCTTATTATTTCTTCCTTACTGATTTTTTATTTCTAGTCTAGATTGCTCATATACTTGCAGCTCCGGGAACATGAGCTTTATTAGATATCACTGAAGGTATCATTGGGAAGTCAGAGAATGAAGGATTGCCAGTTTGAAGGAGGGAGGGAGGGAGAGATAAAAAGGATGACCTTTTAGATGAGAAATTGTCTGACATTTCATATAGTGCTTTAGATCAAGAAATGTATATTGTTTTTATTTAGCATTCCTCTATAAAGTAGATGCTGTAAAGACTGTCTTGAGCCTCTCTTAGCAACATTCTCAATTTCCAGTATTGCTAAGGCATTTTATAATCAATAGTAGTAGTAGGGACACAAAAATATCTTTCAAATTTAAAATTACCCACTAGATAGTGCTTGCTTTGGTGCAATCCCTAGTGCATTTGGCTTAATCAGTGTTGTATTTTTCTCTCTTTTCGGGGGGGGAGAAAGAGCAAATTACATTGCATGTATTGCTCCAGAAGTCCAAAAATGTTAATCAAATTTCACAATCTAATTAGACTCTTTTATTTTCTAATATTAGCCCTTGCTTGCAAATCTAAATAGCGTTAGCAGTTTCGGTTCTTTGAACCTGCAGTCTCCAAACCTAATTCAGTCTGCATAAATACAGATTAAATATCTTGTTTTATGTTATAAGAGATGAATTACCTTAATATGATGAGTCATCTGGCTTATCCTACTTTTTCCAGCAGTACTAGTGCTCTAGTAAAATGTGATAATCAGTGAAGTATATTTATAAATTTTATTTTTCTCCAGGAATGTAGTTTATGGGGAAAAGAAGGCTCCTGTCTTTTTATCTAATAAATAGATAATGGAAATGGAATGGAAAAATGAATAATTCTTCAATTCTGTTCCACAGCCTTTGTATAAAATAACAGGTTTGTCAGACATGCGCTTCTCAGTGAATTCACCTTTAACATATTTGTCTTGCTACTTGTAACAAGTAAAGCATCAGCACCAAAGATACACTTCCAAACCGCTTAAACTGTTACAAACTCCCAAAGTAGGTGACTGGAAAAGTATTATTGCTCCTTAGTCCTCATTTAGGTTTTAGTTGATGCTTCCCATGTTCCTAAGGCATATCCGCATACTTCAGGAAGATGAACACCTGCCATTAATTCAAGAGGTGCTATTTTGTCAGGGCAGTTAAGAATGTTTGATTTTATTGGTTTTTTTTTTTTTTTTTTCCAGCAGGTTAAGTATGAAAGAAAACTACACAGGTTTTTTAGTGAAATAATTTTATATATATATATTTAGGCCTCAGTGAAATTCATTCAGTATTCATTTTATTTTGTTACAATAATCTGGATAGTATTGATTTGTATGTTACATACTAAAGACCACAGTTTTTCCTCATGTCATGCCTCTGACTAAATTAGCATGCCTTTACAAGAGATCAGAAAATGGACATTTTACACTTGTGTTTATAGATGTTCATTTTTATTACAAATAAAAGTAATACAAATAATTATTTTTAAATTGCATTTGTAATTAAACACTTAGATAAAATTAGTTCTATTCATATCCTCTACAGTTATACGCATTTTTTCGTGATGACAACAGAAAAAAAAGGTTTCTGTATGGGGACTAGATTCTTCCAGGTGATTTGATACATGAAAGTGTTTTTGCAGTCATATGACATCTTTAGCAGGATTGAGGAAGACACACTTCTTATTCAGAGCAATACCACTCTAAATATGTTAAGCAAATGGGACTTTCACAAGCTGGTTGGCTCAAAGGCATTGTAAGGTTTGATAACCAATCACTTGGGAGGAGCAGCTTCCATACAAGCTGTTAAAAAGGTAGCTCTATGTCTTCTTAGCTCCGGCCCTGACCAAGAAAGATGTACTTCTACCTCTTTTTGATATACTTTTTTCAGAGAAAGTTTCACATATAACCCCACTTTCTATACTTGAAATAGAAACATCTTCAGAGTTTGGTTATTCCCTGTGCTGCTTCTCTGATAGTGCTTTGATTCAGGTTCATTGTGTTTTAGAGCTAGCAGCCAAGACTATTCTAAAACTGTTTTGCAACACTATTGCTTCCTTTATTCAGTTTTCTTCATCAGTCAGCAGTGGAGCTGTAACTTAAGTCTTCTTCCAGTCCTAGCTATTGCTAGTAGTCACAATATTATTTATGGAAATGAAAAAAAAAACCTCCAAAACTAAAACAAAGAAATGTATATTATATTATTTCTGTGATCATGCAGTTAGTTAATTAATTAATGACAGCAATTGTTACATAACCTCTCTGAATTGTGGAAAGGAACAGCTATTCATTTAACTCTTCTTGAATTTCTTGAGGCTATGACCTGAAAAAAATGCCATGCTTAATCATAACGGATTAGATCAGTTAAACAAAAGCAGTGATTATTTATTAATTTGTTAGTTCAGTAGGCAATATAAATATTCATAAAATTAAATGTATGTTTAAAAATCTCCACAAGTTTCTGAGGAAACCCTTATAATTAATAAAATATTATTTTTATTTTGTGAGATCTCTAGTTTTAACTTCTGTGTATCATGCTGGAAAAGAACTCCAGTGTTTCTAGCTTTATGTATAAAGATGACCTGCATTTATCCTCAGAGTGATTTGAATGGAGTTCTTAATATGAAAAGCATTGGCCACTGTCACTGAAGCTTCTGTCTCTTTTTTGTAAACTATGTGGCAGAACAGATGTGAGCAACTCAGTACCGATGAGCTATATATAAAAGTGTAATTTACTACATAGCAGAAATCTATATTCCACCGAATGAATATTGCTTCCACTCTATTCACAGGCGTATGAAAAAGCTAAGGTTTAAGCTTAACTTAGATATCATATAGATGACTGAATTAATGAAGTGATGAGCAATTTAGTCAGGCAATAGGTAAAGTGTCAGAGAATAAAAGTCAAAATCAGGCAAACCTGAGTATAGTTCTGTATGTGGATGTAAGAACTATTATTTTATTCCTAACATATATTACTCTTGGATGGAGCTTCATTTTCCAACCTAACCATGGATTTTGTATGTTTCATCAAAATTACATATTTATCTAATTTTCGAATGTTGAATGTTCTGCGCTTAAATAGATTGAAATCTTGGAAGTTATCTCACATATACATGTCAAATGTATATCAAGTATCGATATACCAAGTATATGAAATATATATCAAGGGAGATACCCAGATAAACATCAAACATCTTGATATGTAGGTTGTTAGGAAGGGAAATCCTGTTCATGCCAGATCTCTTGTGTAGTTAATAAAGAAAATGGGCCCTCGGAGGCTGTTAGTCAACTGACAAAATCTAAGTATCTATTTTGGCATAGGATGAATTGGCTCTGAAAGTGTTTATTTCTGTCTGATGACTGTTTGTGCCATTTGGGCAATTATCTAAAATATGTCATTTAAATTTGTCAAAGTGAATGTCACCCAGAGTGTTTCTCATGCACTAAAATAATACAGATAGGAAATCGTGGGGGTCCACAGATTTTGTGTTGGATAATTAGTAGTAATCTGAATAGTTTATAAAGTTCAAACTAAGATTTAATAATTTGTCTCTCTCATTATCTAAGCTGTTGCACAGATGTTACCTAAAAAAGAACATATAAGGGAGATTTTGTATGCAGACGTTTCTCGTATTTCGTCCTCCCTGTTCTGCCAGAGCACATCTCTAATTCTGCTGCATTTTGAGGAATTCTTCTGACTCATCCAGCACTCCAGTCCCACAGGCAGGATCACTGGTTTTACTAGCGGCAGGCAACAGTGCTCCATTCCCTGCCTCGTGTCAGGTGATCTTGCTCGGAAAGAGCTATCATTCGCAAATGCACAGAGTAGGTCTGAGGCCTAATCAGAGACCAATAAAATGCCTGGCCACTGACCTCAGGAAATAAAGGCTCATAGAATAAGTAAATCAAAATACTAGTTATATGAGTGAAAGACTTTCAGATTTCTGCACCATAGAAAGCTTGTACTTACAGAAGCACAGGGCAAATTTATTGCTCTTTCCATTTCACAAAGGAATAATTCATTACCTTATAGAGCTCTCTGCCTAAGCATTATTTTCTTCTCAAATGAAGAGTTATAGAAAGATGTGCTAGCATTGACTGATGTTCATGAAGAATTTTTAAAAATTCCTTTGTTGAATTTTTTTCTTTCTATCAACTAGAATATTAGGACTGAAAAATAAAATGATATTTTTTTTTCTGAAGTTCTAACGGGAGCTGAAGAGCAGATATCTGACCAAAGCACCCATGCATCTAGAGATTATTGCTATGAATGCTACTTGCAAATCTCAGCCTGAAGGTGAGAATGACTCTGTAGCATGTTAATTAAGATACTCATGTAAAAGAGAGTACACCTGGGTTCCAGTTCCTGTTCTAGTGTATGTTTAATTATGTATGCAAAGTGAACAGCCTCAGGAGAGAGATTGAAAGCACTCAACCACAAATTATCCTGTAGCTTTGAGATAGAGGTGCTGTCTTAAAAAGTGAGATATCTGAACTCAAAACCCCTTGGGTCTTAACACACACAATCGTTATGGGCAAAAGGGAACACATCATATATATGGTGCTAAGAACTTATTATTAGTCCAGTTAAAGTTTAACTGTCAGATAGTCCAAATTAATACAGAAGAGCCTCAAAATTATTATACAAAAAAAAAACCCTTCCTAGTATTTATCATTTTTTGGTACTTCACTCCCTCTGGTTTCTAAGGCTGTCAACTTCAGTACTCAGGAAGGGGAAGTGAGGGTGTTTATGACAAGTCATCCGCATCCTGAGGTCTTTGCCAGAAAGAGTTAATGGTGGTGGGAAGGGGGGAGTGGGGTATGTCATCCTCGTCCTTCCAAGAGGGGCGTGATGTTGATGCTCTCTTTTTCCTCAGTCTTCCAGTACACTTGGATTTATTTTTATTTGTTCTCTCATCCCAGCCTGCTCCCTTCCCCCTACTGCCAGCGAAGGGGTGAGAGCTGCCCAGGGGGCTGATTGCGGGGCAGAGGCTGCCTGGGGCTGTCAGACCTTCCCCTGTGGCGCTCACCAAGCTACAGCTCCGGCAGGCTGGGCAATGGGAACTGGGCCACGAGGCGTCCGGTCAGCCCAGCCCAGCCCAGCTCGGGACATGGCAAGCCCAGCCACTGCTGGAGACCTGGCAAAAAACAGGTTTACTGGTTTAAGGTTTTACTACACAGGTGGTAAGAGACGGAATCTCAAAATTGTATATTCTGCGAGAGTGTACTGTTAGACAAAGGGTATTGTCAACACTAGTGTAAAACTAGCACAAGGGCAATCTTTTTTTTTTTTTTTTGATGATCAGAAGCTATTTGATAAATTTTATCTGAATTTGGAACAATCAGGCTTGAAGTTTAACCAACAGGAAGTGTTTTGTGAAGGCAGAAGAGAATTGTGCAGCACAAGGATGGGTGAAAAAGTGGAAAAAAATGTGGAATTCAAGTAACAGAGATAACAAAATACATAACTGTATACACTAATAAAAGTCAGTAGAGTAATTTGAGTACCAAAGGAAAGAGAATCCTACTTGTGAGAAAAAGAGCACAGGCAGAACGCAAGCATAAATTAGGGCAATAGTAGGTATGAAAGAGGGTATGACATTCAGAGCCCTTGAAATGAAGTTGGAATGATGAGTGTTTTTGCAAAGAAAAGGTGTTTCATCCTGTTCTGTGGAGACTATAACAGTCTTTTAACTCCTAAGAAGCATGTCCCTGTTTTGCCCTTTGGATGCACATGCATACCCCACCCTCTCAATAGGATGTTACTGTTCTTTTTCTGTATCTCATCAAAGGGGGAGATTATGAAATATAGTAGAATAACGATGTAGGGATGGAGGTAAGTTTTGGCAACATCATTATTATATAGGCAACAACAAATTATTCACACATGATATTTAAAATAGGGGCCTTTTTCAGCTAAGAAATAACTTTATGATAATAGTAATTTTTTTTTTATAGTAATTGGTTATTTTTGCTAATAACATGAACAAACTGTGAGAAACTAAGATTATCGGGATGAAGGAGTAGGAAAACAGATCAGATTTCTTCTTCCTGGGGTGCTATAAATCACAAAATCTAGAACTGTAGAAAACATTTTCAGAATATTATACTATGGCATATCAAAAATATTAATATTGGTGCACAAAACAGTTCAGTGATCAGAACAAAATTTTTCAGTACAAATAATTCAGGGGTTCAGTCATAGAAGCAGAAATACCGTCCCAAATTTTATTCCTTTCACTTCTATAGTTAATTATAATGAAATATGTTTTTTTGTTTGTTGTGGCAAATACAAATTCCATTTTTCCTTGCACATTCCAAATTACCATGAATTGAGAAAATATTCCGAGTTACTTACGGTGTATCATCTTTAAATAGTTTAGTTGGCAAGCATACCTAGAAACTGCAACTTACCCTTCTCCTTAAATTCTGTCTGATGGTATGTCAGTTGGGAAGCTTTAATAATTTATAATATTCTGACTGAGCATGGTACTTCAGTTAGAGAAAAACTGATTGTAGAATTCTGTAAAATCATGACAGAAAGAAGAACGTGAACAAGAAATTGTTGTACACATTGTTATACTCAAAATAGTTAAAAGGATGAAGCACCCAGTGAAAGAATCTATCATCATTATTGAGACAACAGGAAATGCTTTTCAGAAGAGTGCAGTTAAATTTTATAATTCATGGTCAACAGCTGTTGAGGAAGCTGGAAGTTTTAAGCGCACTGAAGACGCTGTAGAAAGGGGATTTTAAAAATGAATTAAGTGAATGGTACAAATGTACTTTTGGACCTCTAATTGCCCACACTTGGCATGAAAGATCATTACGGACTTGTGCTGTCTTTTAGATCACTTGTAACCTCTTTCTTGTTTGCTCTAAAAAACACCGTACTGGCTAGATAGCTCTCTGGTTTGACCTGCTTTATGAGGTTTAGTCTGAAATTCAGAGTTTGTTTGTGCTTACTTACTAAACATATTTTTAATCTTTAAACTAGTTATAACTTGACCAGATGATAAAGATTTAATCAAGGGAATTACAGCAGCATTAAAAAATGGGTATGTAATTTCATGAAAAGATTGATTTTTAAAATGTATGATTGTCTTGTACCATAAGTTATATGCTCATTAATTTTTCTGGCTGATTTCATATTAATTGCCACCCATTTGGTTCTCAGTTAGAAAGCCTTCAAAGCAATCCTTTGAGAGAAAATTAGTTTCCTAAACCAAGATAATTAAAGATGGGAACTTGCTAGTGCCCGTACAATAGCACTCAAAGATCAAAGAGCTTAAGGGTTAAAAGAAGGAGCTTGAAAAAACAGTCTAAGTATGTTATGATATCTGGCAGCGTCACTTATAAATAAATATTTCCTTGAACTTTTATTTTTTGAAACATAAGGAATATTTATGCCTGAGACTTTTTATAATGCAGATAGGACTCATGAGGCTGTTCTGATGTTTTTGCACCATTCAAAGAGAATACTTAACTGTATTAACAGCAATAATTATTTTTTTTTTATAATACCTTAATAGGCAGTCATTCTTTTAAGGTAGACTAACTGTGTTTTAAGTGTTTTTTCTTTGTCAACAATAATACTAATACCTGACAAAAATGCCTATTCTTTGCCTAGTCTTAATCTTTAAGGGTTGAACTTTGGACAGCAAGTTGAGCATGGGCCAGCAGTGCATCTTGTGGCAAAGAAGGCCAGCAGTATCCTGGGCTGCATTAGGAAGAGTGTTGACAGCAGGTTGAGGGAGGTGATGCTTCCTGTCTCCTCAGCAATGGTCAGGCCACATCTGGAGTGCTATGTCTAGTGCTGGGCTCCCCAGTACAAGAAGGACATGGACCAACTGGAACAAGTCCAGCAAAGAGCCATGAAGGTGATGGTTAAGGGACTGGAGCATCTCTCATATGAGAGGCCTAGAAAGTTGGGACTGTTTAGCCTCGAGAGGAGAAGGCTCAGAGAAATCCTGTCAATGTGTACAAATACCTGATGGGGGAAGTGAGGAAGACTGAGCCAGACTCTTTTTGGTGCTGCCCAGTGACAGGAGGAAGGGCAGTGGCCACAAACTAAAACACAGGAAATTCCACCTGAACACTGGAAAACACAATTCTTCGCTATCTCCACAGCCCGTTGCTGGACTCTTCCAGCTTGTCTACATCCCTCTTGAACTAAGAGCGCATAACTGGAACCAGTACTTCAGCTGCAGCCTCAGCAGCCTTGAGCAGAGGGTAGGGAGAGGAATTTGTTCCAAATAGTTGATTAAATGTCATTCAGAAATAATCATTTTGCTTTTTAAGATAATTTAAAATAAATCAGAAAATATCTGCCAGCTAATATTTTCTTAAGATACTCCCTTTTCTATTGAAGAAATTTACCGTTAAGTTGAATCTCAGGCTACCTGATCAACGAATACTTTCAGAAAGTCCTAAATGAAATGTTCTAAAGAAAGAAAGATTTTAATTCTTCAAAATTTCATATATATTCATTTTAGCCTCTAATCTAAGATTCTAAATGAAACTAGACATGAAAGAAAAGTTTTCTTACCAAAACAGTAACTGATCTGAGCTTGAAGGTAAGCCTTGCTTTGAGCAGAAGCTTGGATAAGATGACCTCTACACGTCCCTTCTAACCTAAATTACTCTATATTTTTATCTCAGCTTTTTGGAGATAGAAGTAGATTAAGAAAAAAAATTTCGCAGCAGAATTAAAACCACCCAGATATACCGAGAGGGTTTATGTAAATGAGCAGTTTTATGCTGGATAGGAATAGTTACTTACAAGATAAGTGGGTTATTTCTGTGCGTAGATTGTTTGTGAACTATTACAGAATGGAAAGGAATAAACATAAAATTGGATAAATGAGCAGTTTAGTCAATTCATCTTTTGAGATTATGAGTGCATGTCCTTATCCTTTCTTTAATATACTCATCGATATACTGAGGCAAATCCTTATAGAAATTAAATATATTTTTTGTAATGGTATGGTATTTGTTAAAATGGGATTGAGAGCGTTCAGTACTATGGAGGTTCTGTGCATAAAAGTATATTTCCTTTTCAAAAGATAATACTATTAACAGCCATGGAGACTAATGTGGTCTACTTCTGCATAGAATAGGGGGACCATCTCCAGCAGTCACACTTCTAAAAACTGGCTTGTCAGCCTACTTTGGATAGACGTTTATTAGATATCGTTTCATTTTTATTCAGTATTTAACCTTTCAAGATAAGACTTTGTGATGAAGGAATATTTTTTATAAAATAGCATCATTGTTATTGAATGTTGAGTATCTGGA